TGGGCTATTTGAACGGGACATCTTTGTTGTCAACAGCTTTACATCTTTTCTCTTGGGCTAGAGACCCAGGGGAGGACATGTGGGACATGTATGAAGGTGGAAGCCTGCCTCCTTGCATTTTGAGAGTCAAGTGTATGAGTTGGGAGAAGTGTGTGATTCTTAAATTTCAGAATAAACATTTATTTGATCTCTCTGTTTCTACCATCCACTGCACCTGAAATTTCTTCCCTTCCTCCATTCAGTCCAGGTACTGTCTAACTACATCCTTTCCAGGGAATAATCTGCAGTCTTCTGCTAGGGTAGAGGGGATCAGCAGCTTGGCTGCTGAGTTGGAAAAGAGATTTGGGGATTTAAGTGTTTCCTGAGCAGATTTACAACAATTTATCCTTTGCGCTTGCTTTCTAGAGAGGCTTGATACTGGCATGTCCTGAACATTTTAGTGGTTGCGCGATATAACAGGTACTGTCTAACTACATCCTTTCCAGGGAATAATCTGCAGTCTTCTGCTAGGGTAGAGGGGATCAGCAGCTTGGCTGCTGAGTTGGAAAAGAGATTTGGGGATTTAAGTGTTTCCTGAGCAGATTTACAACAATTTATCCTTTGCGCTTGCTTTCTAGAGAGGCTTGATACTGGCATGTCCTGAACATTTTAGTGGTTGTGCGATATAAATCAGATTGCTTCTCTGATGTCACACTTCCATGTCTTTTTTTCTTGGCCCATTTCTCCTCCTGTACTCTTGTCCTTATGGGTAAATGCTATCTCAAAAATACTGTTCTGCTGTTTCAGTTAAGCTCTATGAGGTCACTGAGTCAGATGTTTAATCTACTGTCTTTCTTTTTTTAAAATCTGCGATCTCCCTCGTGACTTGAAAAACATGCTGGGTGCATTGTGTAGTGCTCCAAATCCCAAAAGAATGGAGAAATGGAGGACAAGAAACTGTGATGTTACCATATCCCATTAGGGGTTGCTTTCTTGAACCTCCTACTCTCTCTCTCTTTGTTGAGCACACACACCTTTTGGTAATTTTAAAAAGTTATTATTTTTCAATTTGACACAGGGTATATAGGCTTGCAGCAAAGAGATGCACAGAAAAGGAAAGAAGAAAATTAAGAAAGCACCCACCCGGCAAATGACCATGCCACAATCCCTTCTCTTTCATTCTTTCAGGATTTAGGGGTATTAAGTACATGTGCCTGGTGTGTTTTTCAAATTGCCAGGTCTGGGACTCAAATTTAAGAAATGTTTAGTGGGATCTGACTGCCTTAGCCATTATGCCACCTAGCTGGTCCAAAAAGTTACGAATAGTACTACTTTTACTTCATTAGCATGAGTTCATAAACAATTTATGTTCTTTCTAAATGATAGTGTAAGTAGCTAATGAAGATCTTCTGATAAAAGCTTATAGAGTCCTCATGGCCAAATTCTCTTTCTAAATTTACATACATGGTCACATACACTTTCTTCTGTTTTATTTCAGTTCAGGAAAGGTAAGAGTGGTAAAATGTCATTCATTCATTCATTTGAAAGATTTTTGCTATAGAGTGTGTGTGCTCACTGAAGAGACAGAAAGTGATTAATCACCCCCCTCCCCTGCCCTCCTACCATGGGGATGGCCATGCCACAATCCTTTCTCTTTTATTCTCTTCTTGGGATTTTGGGCACACGTGCACAAGAGCCCAGTGTGAGTTTTAGGCTTACTGGGTCCAGGACCCAAATCATGGTTGACTATGTGGGAGTCTAGATGTAAAACCATTATACAATCTGCTGGTCTCGAAACTGGCAAAATTTATAAAACTCTATAAACATCAAAAGGGAATATAGGGACCAGCAGTAGCGTAATGGCTATGTCACTGGACTCCCATGTAGTCGACCGAGGTTCACATCCCGGACCCGGTGGTTTAAAACTCATGCCCCACACATGTGTGTGCGTGCCCAAGATCCCAAGAGGAGAATGGAGAAGGGATTGTGGTGTGGCCATCCCCCCTGGGGGGTGATTTCTTGCTTTCTGTCTCTCTGTCTCTCTCTGTCTGGCGAGTGCACATGCCTTATAGAGAAACAAAAACAAAAACAAAAACAAATCTCTCCAAAAAAAAAAAAAAGAATATATAAAAGTTTATACAAAAGGTCTAGACCAATTAATTTCAATTCTTATCCTCAATACACCAAAGAAATAAAACTGATAAGGACTGGAGAGTACATTTTTAAAGAAAATATTCGAAGAGCATGTGGATATAAGAGAAACACAGGAACGAACTAAGAGAAAAGAGGAAACTAATAAAATAAATGCTGTAGACAATGGCCTTCTCTGCCTCCTACTGTGTAGTTTCTGGGTAGCAGCATGCAGGACTGATTTCCTCTGGTGAATGGCTTTGATCAGGCTAATGCTGCCGTGGAGATCCCACTTGAATGTCAGGGGCTGATTGAGGTACCCAGTGCAGAGCTTCCTCTGGCTGCTGAGTTGGGTACAGAAATGGGCTTATGAACTACCGAGGCAAATGAGATAGGACACATGGCTTGCTAGGGTCATCTAGGGAAACTTTTCATGTTCTTGAGAGAGAACCACAGAAAGAGGCAGTTCTACCACTTCTTTTGAATGCTGGCATGTATGGGCATGAGGCCAAGAGATTCTGGAGTCTTCTTACTTCCCAACTGGGAATGAAGCTATTTCCTGATGGGAGAAAAGAAACTGAGATATAGCTATGGAATTAAACCTTTAAAGCTTACTCCGCCTGAGACCTGCATGCAAGTAAGCAAATAAACTTTTGTTTAAACCAGTTCGAAAGAGGATTTCTATTAGTTGTGGCTGAAATAATTGATTTAATAACCACAGAGACACAGTTATTGATATAAATAATTGAATGAAAAACTGTTTCAACAGTAACAAAAAAGGGAAAGATTACATTGATTTTTCATTGAAAGACATATAAAATACATTTGAAGGAGTCTGTACAGCCTAAGAGAGAATACTTTTAACACAACAAATACAGAAAAAGATTTCTGCAAATGCGAAAGATTCTGTTACTGTTTATAAATTTTAAAAAATTCAATCTCAAATTTTTTTTTCACAGCCACTCGTGTGATGATTAAGGTGGCTGGATCTCACATGGCCAACTTGTGTGGTTTGAGTTCTGGACCCAGTGGCTTAAGAAACATGTAGTATGCATGTCCATGCGTGTTTAAAATCCCAAAAAGAGGGAGAAATGGAGAAGGTATTGTGATGTGACTATTCCCTATGGGTGGGGAACACTTTCTCTCTCTCCCCTCTGGCAAGTGCATATGCCCTCTGGCAAAATTAAAAAAAATTCAACCTTAAATCTGTAAGTTAACTATGTTTTTTTTTTAATTTAATTAAAAAATTTTACATCATTCACTGAATATCATTATAGCATATAAAATGAATTTTTCCATCCAGAATACACGGAATATTGGTCCAATCAAAGATATTACTATACCTATTATGCCCAACAGACAATTTTCCATTTTGTGTCTCTTAACTGTTTGACGTTTTTTTTTTCCCCCTTGATTCCCTCCCTCCTATGCTTCTTGATATATCATTTGAAGTATTAGGTTACTAAGAAAGGCATGATGCATTTTTGCATAGAAAAATATAGAAAAATACATTATAACTTTCCTGACAACCTAATAGTAAAGATGTAAATGGGTTATCATTCTACCCTAATATCATTTTAATATCACAGAGTTTACGCTCCTCATGTTACAGATAAAGAAACTGGGTCTTAGAATAGCCATAAATTATTCAATTGGTTAAACAACAGTTCTTGGCAGAAGGGCATATTCGCTGAGTTTATTTTGTCAATAAGTTCAAATAAAATAATTCTAAATCATATACATACAACACAGCAGACATGCTATAAGAAAATATATCAACATAATGACATTTTATAGAGTCCAAAAAGAGTGATAGAATAAAAGATGTATTAGCATATTTCTGCTTTTAGCCATTAGGTTCATATTTCTTTTTTTTAACAATTAGGTTCTTTGAACTAAATAAAATTAGGGAAAATAAATATACAAAGATATTTACCTTTCACCCTGCATATTGATTAAATATTGATACATTTTTGAGTAAGAAATTGTGCTAAGTACTGTGGCACATGTTCTCACAAAATGTAAGTAAAAAGATAACTAATGAGGGGCTGGTAGGTGGTGTGGTGGTTGAGGTGCTGGACTCCCACATGGCCAACCACAGTTCGAGTCCCAGACCTGATGGCTTGCTTTTCACTACCCCTGTCTCTTGCTCTGTCTCTTTGGTCAAAAAAAAAAAAAAATTAATAAGAGCAAATAAAATTAAATAAATAATTTAAAAAGATAACTAATGATTTAAGTAGTGTATGTTGTAACTATGTTATAAGTGACAAGTCACTGGCAGTGAATGTTGAAAAGACTTTAGAACACTCTTTGCTATGATAATAGTGGTTAAGGAACTGTATTCCAACATGGTCAACTATAGTAAGAGTCCCAGATCTGGCAGCTTCCTTCCTCACTTTTTCTTTCTCTGGTCAAATTAAAAAAAAATAATAATAATACATTAAATTAATAATTCTTTTAAAAAATCAAAAAAGGCCCCTCAGTAGAGGTAGGAGTTGAGAGTTTCCTTGCCCATTGACATAGAAAGAAGGTGGAAAAGCTGCCATTCAGTTTTGTAATATTACACTTCTGAAAATGATCATACTAGACCATTAGATGAAGTTGGTGGAAGAGGCAAAGAAGAATGAGAAATGCAAAAGGCAAGCAAGAGGTACTATGGAATGGATATTGTAGGGGAAATGATTAAGCTAAGAGTTCTGAAAATTGAGTGAAAGGCTAGAAAGCAGACCACAAATTGAAGGTAGTAGATCATACACTGCAGGCAATGAGGGGAAGGGGGCAACTGATAATTCTCAAGTAGTAGCAGAAAGATATAATAAAGAATTTGTAGGAAATAAAGGGTTGGGTAAAGTACAAAAATGAATACTCGCATTAGTGAACAGAATATATACCTGAAATGGCTTATCTGATTTTCTAAAAGGGAAGAGAGTCTTTCTTTTGTCTCCTCAAATCTCTCTTTTTCTTCCATTGAAACAGTTCCAATTCCATCAGGCCTGGGGGAAAAAAAAATCAGAATCAATCACTTATACTGATAGAATAATTGTTTTATATTATATATGTGTGTGTGTATACACACACACACACACACACACACATATTCACATATATCTATGTCTCCAGAAATCCCAATAATTAAGAAAAAGGCATATTGGTTCAAAATATACATATTATAGTGGAAATTTACGGGAGGTATTTGCAGCTATTTGTTTCATATTTTGACCTAGAATGAATGGAAAGGAATTACTCTCTTTTAGACAGCCTTGAAAGTAAAGGATTACAATAAATATTTTTCAGATCTATAGAAAACAATGACTAGTCCTTGAGAATGGCAGTGAAAAGAGTTTCATACTGGTACCAAACATTTGACCAATTAAATGAATATCCTCTGAATGGAACTATTATTAAAAAATACTAAATACAAGCTAAAATGTCTTAACTGCTTCTCTTCCAAATAAAAATTAAGCTAAGATGAAATTGAAGATTTAATTTTAATAATTTTAAGAAACAGTTTTGGATACATGTCAAGGTTTACCACTCCATTGTTTTTGTTTGTTTAAATATGTGGGCAAATATACAAAAATATCAGAATAAAAACATTACAGAGAAGAAAGACTTAACGCTTCAAGATTTTTGTGTTTAAATTTCCCTAGATAGTTGATGTGAGTTTTCCTTAGAATTTAAAAATGTACCTATGAAAACTGAACAGAAATATTTTACCAAGATTAGGATTAAAAATATAAAATATATCTAAAAGCAAATTAGAATTTATTCTGTGTTGGGTCAGCAGGTGGAATAGTGGTTAAGGATGCTGGACTCTCACATAGTCAACCGTGGTTTGAGTCCTGGACCTGGAGGCTTGCTTTCTCACTTTCCCTCTCTCTCTCTCTCTCTGTCTCGCTCTCAGTCTCACTTTCACTCTATCCCTCTCTGGTAAAATTAAAAAAATAAATAAATAAAAAGAGTTAAAATAAAACAATTCTTAAAAAAAAAAGAACTTATTCTGTATCAATTTAAGTATCTGGTGATATAGCACTCATCGAAATTTTGAACAAATCAATTTTAGCTATCTCTTTTAGTAAGTGAAAAAATATAGAAATGTCATATTCATTTATTCTAAGCTTATTTATATATTTCAACAACAAAATGAGTCTGTTGCATTTGATAATTAATGCCAACCATTTCTTCCCCTATTAGCTTATCACTCTACAGATTATATTTTAGTTCCCACATATTTATGCATTATCATTCCAATGTACTAATTTAAAAATATCATTTAATTTTATATTATTGTTATTAGTAATTTTGTTTGCTTTGATGCACATGCATTCACCAGAGAAAGGCAGACAGAAGGGGAAAGAGAGAGAAGAAAAATGAGAAAGCAAGCTGCCAGGTCTGTGGTTTGTGATATGGGAGTCCAGGGCCCCAGCCACCATGTCACCTGCTGGCCTCTCCAATGTACTAATTTTAATGTTTGTGTTTTTTCTTTGTTCTTTTTATTTTCTTTTGAGAGATTTTTGCTATTATGCATGTGCACTTGCTGAAGAGATGGAGACAGAAAGACAGAAAGTGAAAAATCACCCCCAGGGGGTGGGGAGTGCCCCAATCCCTTTTCCTCCATTTTCCTTTCAGGATTTTGGGTACACATGCACATGCACCCAGCCTGACTGCTGCATCTGGGACTTGAACAGTGGTCAACAATGTGGGAGTCTAGCCACCTTATAAACACTGTGCTACCTGCTTGCCCTAAGATAAACTTTGTTAAACATGAAGAAAAATGAATGTTTAAAATACTTTGGCCAACAAGATTTTATTTGATGTTCCCACTGTTTTTTTTTTTTTAATATATACATATGTATGTGTTTGATACTTATTAACTAGTTAATTAGGATAAAAGCAATTAATTTTCAAATTCTACCTGATTCATACTGACAAAATAACCTTTTGTTCAAAGTATCATCTAAGTATGAAAAATTTTCCAATATAGAGTAAATTATTTGTTACTTTAAAAATGTACATTCTGGGACCAGTAGTTGGCATAATGGCTATGTTGATGGACTACGATATAGTCGACTGTGGTTTGAGTCCTGGACCCGGTGGCTTAAACTCATGCCAGGTGCATGTGCATGTGTGCCCAATATACCGAGGAGAATGGAGGAGAAGGGATTGGGGTGTGGCCATCTACACTGGGAGGGGTGATTTTTCATTTTCTCTCTCTCTGTCTCTCTCTGTCTTTCTGGTGAACACACGTGCCTTATAGCAAAAAACCCTCTCTAACCCCCGCAAAAAAAACCCAAACTTACATTCTGCTGGAATTTATGCTTTGAAAATATTCTTACAGTTATATTTCATTCCTAAATAGAAAAACATTAATTATTTAGTTTCAAATTCAGAATAATATATTAATCACATTTATTGCATCAGAATGCATTTTGAATACTAACTATGGAAATACTAATGGCTAAATATTGTTATTTCAAATATTTTTAGAATCTATGTCTGATGTATAAATTATAAAGAGTGAACTATATAAACTAATCTCAATGTTTTATATTAAATTAATAATGGATTTTTCTCATGTTCAAAATCAACTCCCATTGAGCTGTTATTAGCACAAAATCCAGTCACCATGACTAAGCATTAATAATGAGCACAAAAATTCAAGTAGAGAGTTATACAGAGATTTAAAAAAAAATTAATAATTAATTTTATTTGGGGACTGGCAAGTAGCGGGTAGCTATGGGCACTAGACTCCCACATGACTGAATGCAGTTTGAATCCCGAACCTGGTGGCTTGCTTTCTCACTTTCTCTCTCTCACTCTGTCCCTCTCTGGTCAAGTTAAAATAAATAAAAATAAAGTTAAATAAAATAATTCTTGAAAAACTTTTATTTCATTTTATTATTATTTTTTAATTTGACCAGAAAGAGAGAGAGAGAGAAAATGAGACAGTTAACTACCAGGTCTGGGACTCAAACCCTGGTCGGTCATGTGGGAGTCCAGCAACTTAACCACCATTCGTCCACCTGCCAGCCCCACTACACACAGATTTTTAATTTAGAAATTTGGTCATTCAGACAAAAATTGTACCTAAATTATGTTATTACAAAGAAAGCAATAAAAATTTATACAAGGCCAGCCTATGACATGGTAGTTAAGACAGCTAGATCCCACATGGGAAATCGTCCAGTTTGAGTCCCAGATACAGAGACTTAAAAAACACACCAGGCACATTGTGTGAATGCCCAAATTCTCAAAAGAGGGATAAGTGGAGGATAAGGGATTGCACATGACCATTTCCCATGGGGAGTACTTTCTCACTTTCCCTCTTTCTCTCTTTCTGGTGAATACACATGCTCTCTGACAAGATTAAAAATTAAAAAATAAAATGTTATGTCATAAAATGGTTATTTCACTCAACATGTCTGTACAAACTTGATGAAAAAAGTAAAGAAGTTATCTTCACTATTCTCACATGATCCTTTGGCTCAGCTTTCTGGCAGATGGTGTATGGTTAGATCTGAGTGAATTTTCTTGTTTGGTTCAACTGTCAAATGAGATCATGAGCCATAAGGATAGAAAAGCTGTCTTGTCAAATTAAACCTCACTGGAGCATATTGCCTACCTGACAGAAATGGAGCCAAGGGTTCAGGTGTTGAAAAGTGAGAAAGGCAAGTCAGGGGAGGCTCACTTACATCAACCTTTCCTAAGAAAAAGACTTGTTATACACAGTGAAGAACCATTGCTTTACTGAGCATATTACTACAGTAGGTGCAACTCTAACAGGTTAAACACAGCACTGAACAATTTGGACTTGCCTTTATTGATGTGTCCTTACTTCAGTGTGTATACCAGACTACGTACCCAATATTAGTTATACGAAGTAGCCTTCTTTCTCTAAATTATTGGGAAGGAATGGTAACTTGGTTGCATTCACCCTAATGGTAACAGCTCTTTTTACAATAATTGTCCCTCTACATGCAAACACTTCCCATGTTACCAACTTCTTGTCACCATCATTAAAACAAATATAGTACTGAGGACCAGAAGTTGGTGTAATGGCTTTGTAGCTGGACTCCCAGGTAGTCGACCGCAGTTCGAGTCCTGGACATGATGGCTTAAACTCATGCCGGTTGCGTATGCGTGTGCGTGCCCAAGTACCCAAGAGGAGAATGGAGGAAAAGGGATTGAGGTGTGGCCATCCCACTTGGGGGGTGATTTCTCGCTTTCTATCTCTGTCTTTCTGGTGAGCACATGTGCCCTATGACAAAAACCTCTCAAAAACAAAACAAAACAAAACAAAACAAAAACAAACATAGTATGTATCAACTATAGAATTCTAAATATGCACCTGTGCTAGCTGTTTTATATGCGGAATAACATGGAATGCTCACAGCAATCCTGTCTCCTTTCTAAAAAAGGAGGAAGCTGCTGAGGTTCAGGGAAGTTAGGTTATTTCCCCAAGGTCACATAGCTAGGAAACTGCAGAAACCTGGACTTGAACCTTAGGTCAATGCTATTAGTGCCCATACTTTATCTTCTTTCTTCTATACTTTCACAGGAAATAAAGCAAATTAAAACCATATTAAACCATGGAAGCCATAACTGAAATAATGGTAGAAAGATTTTAAATGCTCTTTTTTTTTTTTTTTTAAGAATTATGTTATTTAACTTTATTTATTTATTTATTTTAATTAGACCAGAAAGGGACAGAGTGAGAGAGCGAAGAAAGAAAGAGAGGGAGAGGGAGAGGGAGAGGGAGAGGGAGAGGGAGAGGGAGAGAAAGCAAGTCACTAGGTCCAGAATTTGAACTGTGATCGATCATGTGGGAGTCCAGCACCCTTAACCACCATGCCAGCTGCCGGCCCCAGGGCTCTTACTTACATAAGACATCTTCTATATTTCATGTATAAATAGAGAGCTTAAAAATCAAAATTTCAGGCTAGCTGTGGTGTTACAGTAGTAACAGGCTGCTTCATGATGATGAATCCACACA